TGTAATTGAAGAAAACAGAAGTTTTCTCCCTGCTTAGTAATTTTTATCAATGTTTTGTTTTTTGGCTCAACACATTTTATGTCCATTTACAAACACATTCCTCTGAGGATTTCTCTAAAACGTTGATTAAAGGCACAAAAGTATAAATTTACAGAGTCCATGGACTATCCAGTTTTGGAATTTACCAAGCTTTAGCTGCCATTTTCTCCCTAATTTCACCTCTTAAACCAGGTGACCCCCGCCTCCTTCAATCCTTCTGTAGAAGAAGGATGGGTAATTTTTTCACTGAAAGCAAGACAAATGAAGAATCTTTAAGATGGTACCAATAACTCAATATGCTCTAAAATTGACGAGAGCCTGATTCCACCACGCCTCATACTTTTGTTTTTATCGTCAGATCCATTTGACCTTCCGATGCATTCGGAAGACGACGACAGCAAATGTGTCTCGACACGGTGAAATCAGGCGATCGTCAATGTCTAGAGAAATGAAATATACTCTGCTGAAAGCTTGTTCAAGTCTCGCTTTTGATGAAAAAGAATCCATCTATCTTGAAATGAAGTCCAGCTATATGCAATTGAAGGACGCGGGGGGAAGGGGGGGGGGGGGGGCGTCGTCTGGTGTCAGAGATCAAATTTGGGAGGAAATGGCCACCAAAGTTTGGTAACTTCCAAAGCTTGACTGTCTTGGCCAACTAAAATTCACATTATTTACACTTTTTTGCGTGGCTTTCTGAAACGTTTTTCTGCAGAACCCTTACAGAAATACGTTTCAAACAGACATAAAAAGGTATTGCTCCCCCCCCCTCCCCCACCCAAAAAAGTTTTTAAATGAATCTTTAAAAATTGCCCAAGAGCCGGACAAATGTCGATGTCTCCTATTTCATTATTTTGACGAGCGTCTGATATCACCACGATGCCACACAATAAATGATTGTGACTGGGTCGTCTCTTTTGCGCTTGGCTGCATATTATTATTGATCGTAACGTTTGACACTCCATCGACACAGTTTAGATCGCTTGAGATGCGGGCTGCGTGAACCGGTCTGTCAGGGCATACCCACGATGTATTCGATACTACAATAATAGTTATCCTCGTATAGCTCGAATTTAAGAGATGTCTTTCCCGTGGAATATAACAGACGAATTATTATTTATTTCGCGGATAGCTTTGACGGTGGGAGGGGGGCGGGGGGTTGGTGGAGGGAGAGCGGCATTTATACGCAACATCTTCTTAGCATGTGATGTGGAGAGGGTTCATCGCGATCAGGTCATTTAAAGGCGCCTATATTATAATATCCATCTGCTAAAAGATATCGCCAAGTGGTTGGTTAGTTCGGTAAATTCGGAGGTCTTGTTTCTAAGATAACATTACAGTTTGCAATGGGTGTTAGCCTTTTACGATTTTGCCGGCTGGACTATCCAAAAAAACCCTGTCTAAACAAAACCTAAGCACCCCCCCCCCTCCAACCCCACAAAAAAACAACAAACAAACCCCGAACGCCAAAACTAAACCCAACAAAAACAACAAAACACAAACAACAACAAAAAGAAAACAAAATAACACACACACACACACACATAAACACACACACACACACACACACACACACACACACACACACACACACACACACACACACACACACACACACACACACACAACACACTGTTGAGAATTAGGAAACACGTCATCCGCAGCACATTCAGACCAGACGTCAACGTAACTAACAGAGATGGGTCTCAGTGTTTTGTTTCATAACAAAAGGCGTTTCCCTCAACCATCTCTAGGCCTTGACAAGGATGTTTGAACTCCAGAGGCACAAAGCATTTTGATTGGTCCATCTCCGTCGGAGACGTCCCCGAATAGATGCTGCGTGTCGATATCGATTGGCCGGGGCCATACAGAGGAAGTCGCTCGGTTTTCATATTAACGAAATAACAATCTCAGCGATCAACGCTTGCTGTCTAGTAATGGTTTACAAACAAACACTTTTTTTTTCATTCACTCAAGAAAGAGAATACCCGGAGTACATGGAAGCCCTGGGCTAAGAGATTACCGAAATGAAAGCCTAGCTTTGAGACAATTTGAGTTCTTCCTTGTCATCAGAAACTATGCTTGGCTGGTGCTGTTGGAATCAATCTGTGCAGTTCGCAGCATGAAGACACTTTTTAATTCAATGAGAATCATAAGGGGTACTGAATGGGTTTTACTTTGACCTTGCAGTGCTGAGAGTCAACACCATACAACATACGACAACACACACACACACACACACACACACACACACACACACACACACACACACACACACACACACTCACTCACACACAAACACACAAACGCACACACACACACACTAACAGGCTTACATACATACTCTCACACACGTACAGAGGCAAGAGCGCACACATACAAATGCACACACGCACACACACACACACACGCACACACACACACACACAACACACACACACACACACACACACACACACACACACACACACACACACACA